ACTGCAAAATAATAATAAAAAAGCCTAACAGTTAAAATATATGATTTTTCTACATGAATGTAATGTGTATTTATTTATTTGGTGATACATAGATAATCTAGATTTTTCAGTGTACAATTATGTTTGTGCACCAAAAGAAAGACTTTTTTTATTTTTATTTTTTTTTTTACATCTTTTTCACAAGAGTCTGGTAGAAATGGCAAGTGGTATTAGTGATCTGGAAGCCTCCTCCTCTGTTTAAGTCTGGTTTATCCCATTTAACAGATAGGCATCTTCAGTTTTCTCTCCTCCCAGAATGTAAACATTACTCACCTCGAACGTGGTGAGGATGTCGACTAGCATCAGAGGAGTGCATTCTCCTGTATTTTTCCAAGATCTTCTCAAGTGGTTCTGTATTTGCATGCATGGCGTGTAATCTGATGCTTCTTGTCTCATTGCCTGCTTTACAGCAACTCAGTTGTATTTTGTGATTTCCCCCTTCTGTTTTTCATAGACTTGACATTCAGTGAGTTCAGGAAAATGTTCTGCCGCAATCTTTTTAATCTTGTAGGATTATTAGGAGTTAAATAACCGTGAGAGGTGTAGAGAAACTAAATATTAGATATCTGCCATATTTATCAACAGTTTGAAGTCCGTGTCATGACAGCATGATATTTCATCTGGTACAACCCAGACATGAAGGTATTGGATTTAGCATTTCTCCTGTACTCTTTGTGATTGAGACTTTTATTTTAACTTAAGGAAGGTTGACAGCTAATAAGGACTGCTCATCATGCTTTGACTGACAATACATAGTCTCAAAAGCTTTAGAGAAGCATCCACAACTTTTAAATTGAAAATGTGATTTTAATAAGGGCCCAAATCCATTAAACTTTTTTTTTTTTTTTTACAAAGAGGATTTTAATGATTTATTTATTTATTTTTTTTAAGTTTACCATGGCTGTAGGATCATACCTTGGGCACCTATGCTAAACTATGTGAACCTTTCCAAATGTCAAAAATAATTATATTGACTCTACTTTGGGTGCCACTAATTTAAATTATAATGGTTGCCACATAACATCAAATTTTCCTGCAACACAAGTCCAACTCCAGGCGTTAGATCTATTTTGATCTCACAACTTAAAGTATGATTTCTTGCATGTATGGAAGTTGGAGGCTTCTTGCACACAGGGGAATGACTCTTCACCCGAATGTCACAATCCCAGTCAAAACCCACTTTTGACAGTATGAATGTTTGGGTCTTTATTAATTTAATTGATTCAGTTGTTAAATTGTCTGCACTGCAGATTTTAGGTTACTGGAAAATAAAAACAAATGGTGGCCAGAACAGAGACAAGATACAGAAGATTTTTCCAAACACTGTTACCTTTATCTGTGAAAAGAAGTTTTTCCCAAAATATTGCTCAAGATGAATCTTCCTCCATTCTTGCGAACCTAATCTTGTGAGCTGTCAGTATCACGTTACATCTGTAACAATGACATGCTGTTGGTTGCACTGTCGTGAATCTTTACAAAATATATTATGTGGATTACGTTAATCTTCCCAGGATTTCTTATCACTGATTGTTGCAATACAGAAATGGGAATTTCTTTGTTGCCATGTCTGCCTGGCTGATTTCTCATTCTCAGCTCGTAAATCTTTCCACTTCAGTCACTCTCATGTGTGAACACTCTTTGACGTGTGTCGAACTTTTGGTTCAATCTCCAGACCTTGCAACATTTTGGGATTGAAGCTTAACTGTTTATTTAGGAAAGGTGAAGCACTCCATTTCCGTTTTCCTCAAAACTGCGGTGAGGAAAGTATAAAACATTTCATTAATACAGGCTGCTTTTTAAAAAAATGAAAAATACCATCACTTCTGAGACTCAAAGCTAAACTACCTATCCACTCCTGTACCTAAGAGTTTATCACCATAAAACATTTTTTGAATAAAATTTAGCAACATGCTTCATGTTAATTGAACATTTTTTTTAAATTTAATTACTTTAACATAGAGCGTGACGTTTAGTGAACTTTTGCCATTACAAAAACACGACTTTGGACACCAAAATAAACAAACTGCACAAAAAATACTATTTAGCATTCAACACCGTCCTCCACATGCTCCATGTTGCATTTACCCATTTATGAGGTTGAATATATAACTCCTGCTGCTTTTGTATTTTGCTGCCTTCCAGCAGTGATTCATGAGATCAAAAACAACAACAAAAAGCTGGCCAAGTGTTTTTGTGCTGTAAAAAAAAAAAAAAAAGACACGTGATGGAAACAAGCAATAGAAGCCGCATTATCGTTTCTTTCTTTTTCTGTCTTTCAGATACAGATGGTGTGACTTTTTTTATGCATTTCTCTCAGTTTAGAAATGTTGTTGTTATTGAAGCGATGGCTCTTTGTTAACTAAGTATCAGTCATTTTAATGAAATCAGCGTCTGCTCACTGAGGCAGACTGTTCGGAATTGGCCCGGAATTGAATAAATGACATGAGAAAGGGCAATTCTGCCCCAATAGGTTAATTTTCTGGAGGCTAATGAAAGCAATTGTTTATTGAAAGGAGACTGTGTATAATTTTGGCCATCAATTATGAGGCTTGATGTCAGTAAGTATAAAGCATTCCTAGCTTTCAGAGCATTATCCCTCTCCTTTATTTTTGCTGTTCTTTCTGTAGCCTATAAGCCAGATTTACTCCTTCATGCTAACTTTACTGTCTAGTCTGACAGCTTAAACACCACGTCTCGAAAGCCATAACGAAGACTTCGAGTTCCAATATTTGGTCTTTGACATTAATAAATGTGATCTTTGAGACTTGATGTGCAGCAGCAAAATATCACATTTTAAATGTGAACACGACAAGGGCAGCCACAACCAGAAGAAGAGAAAAAACCCAGTGAATCCTGATGTCTATGGATTAGAACAAAATGTTAATATACGTACCATTTTATTTAGGTTTGAGGTGCAAACCTTAAAGTGCTGCTGTGGATCACCCTGCAGCTGTTTTTCACTCATTCTGACAGAAATCATCAGATGTTATAAAAGCATCTTTTATAACATCTGATGTCCCCATGAAAACTGCAGCATCTTCAGAGCAATCATTCATACCGTACTGACTGAAGCTATGAATGATATCTTCTTTAAATACTCTGTCAAAAACATTTAAGCTTGTCAAACTGTGTGCAGTTCTATAGTGTGTTTGAGACCTGATTTATTTGAACACGTTCTGCATTTCAACACCTTACTTGTATCAGAAACAACAACACTACTGGCATTCTTTATTAGGATTTAAGGAGGATTAACGGAGGTGAAAACCAATAAAATATTATTAGCCCAAGGCTGAGTAGCCTCATCAGGACAGACTCTTCCGTTTCAAGACTGTAATTCTCCTTTATCCACACCTGCTACGCCGATTAACAACGCCATTTGAGGATATTGTCTTTGTCATCGCTTAGTGGATTCTTCCAACTTTAATACGCAATTGCACCTAACCTATTTATAAAAGTAAAAAGTTTTCACCTACATATTATTAATATTATATAACATTACTTACTACATTTCCACGGAATTACTTTTGTAGTATTAGCTTTATTCATAACAATATGCTTTAAAAGTGACCTGGGGTGAGAGGTAGTTTCTGCTTTGCATTAGGTTGTAAATTCTCTTTTGGACAAATAGAACATGCAAAATCCTGTGATTGCTATATATTTTTTGTGTGTCAGTTTCTGTGTTTTTGTGTGTACCTGTGCTGGTTTTCATGGGGACACTGATCTGTTTATGTTCATGTCATGGGGACCTCTTCCCTCTAGGGGACCAAAAAACCAGATCCCCATAAGGAAATTAGGCTTAAACAACTATATAAGTAAATTACAGGGTGCTGGTGAAGTTTCAGGCATGGGCCCATGTCGCACATTATTTCTGCTAAAGTTGCCATATGTAACTTTTATTACAAACAAAAAACAAAAAAACAAAAAAAAAATCAATGTTAATGGCTTAACATGTTTGTTAAAAGTATCCTCGAAGAGTAACAGTAAAGTATTAGAGATAATCTGTGAAAACACATAGCTTCTCCACCTTTTCCCAGTGCTGCAGCTGCAATCTGAAGAAAGGAGCTGCTCCCAATCAAAAACAACCAATCAGAGCAAGGAGGAAAGTTTTTGTGCTAACATGAAAGCATTTCTGTTGGACCAGTGCATGTTAAGCTTTCAGCTGTTTTAAGAATCATATAAGTCAATTATTTATGCTAATATCTGTAAAATAAAGTGACTTAATTTATAGCAAACTTCCCAAATTAACTCCTTTATCAACACAAATTTGAATTGTAACTAATCACGTCAGGACACCCTACTTCCTAACATTTTGTCTAAACTGTTTGGCTTCACTGTGATGCTCTTTAAGGCTGGTTCTGTTTCACCTGTTTCAGATAAATATTTGTTTTTGGTGATTCTGAAAAACTGTGTTTTGCTGCATGTGTGACTCAATCATGTCTCCAGGGATTATGGAAATGTAAAAGCTTTAGTGAAGATTTCATCTCTCGTGATGCACTTTGACTTTTCACTGCTTCACAACTACTAATCACTTTTTAAAATTTGCTCAGCACCATATCTGTTGTCTTTCAGAGTGCATGTAGTTGGTGCACAAGAAATTACACAAAGTTTAAAGATAAAAAACCCCCACAATATTTATATTAGTTGGCTTTGAAGAATTAGAGTAACGGATGATTAAGTGATGAGAATGGAAATAAACAGAAACAGTTTCTCTGTTGACATGACATTTCCCTGAACATGACACAAATAATATATCTCCCATGTATATAGTAATAGAAATATGAGTCATTGTTAATTCTTTTGAAATTCGACTTAGTTTTCTTTCTTTTCTAACCATAGGCATGACTCAGCAAATATATTCTACATGAAAAAAAATCAAATGCAACTCAAAATAGGAAAACCTGAGAAAAATAAGCCATGCCACATGAACGTATGAATATGAATAATCACTTTAGTGAAAAATATTAATGACATTAAATAGGACTTTTTAATAATACATACAAAAAACACAAAAGTTAAAGAATTTCAGCTGTTGAATATGACAAAAGCATGCAATTATGAGAACTCTGTTTTGATCTGGTTCTGATTTCCCCAACCTTCCCAGATAAGCATCGTTCAGGTATGAGTGCGTGTACCCGAAATCCGAGGAGCTTCTGACTTACAGCTCTCTGAATTATTTAAGATATTGTGTATAATATGCACTGACACAAAAATTATAAAATAGTTATGATGCAATACTTATATACAAGCCATTGTGATGACTCAAGCAATAGGAAGATTTTTTTAACAAAAAACATAAATGCTGATTTAGAGAAAAAAATTAACTCAGCCTTGGAGACATTTTGAAGCTTCCATCAACTTTTATACAAGTCTGAGGACAAACACATAGAATGAAACTCAAAAAATTCCCTCTACCTCATCGAGTATATGATCTTTGCCAGTTATAAATTGCATGAATATTATGGGAACATGCTGGCACTCGTTTACAAGTACTGCCGCTGCGGTAACGAAAGGCCCACCCTCCTGCAGCCCCTCCCAGCCCTCTCCTCCTCGCAGCGAACTGCTTCGCTCGCTCCTCTGCGTTGAAGAAGTCCGTGGTCGCTCGGAAGAATTCCAGCATGACTTTGTGACTCCAGTTGGTGCCACGGTTGTCCACTGTACTTGTTGCGACCACAGAGCCCGCTGCGCTACCGGCACTTCTATCCGACTGGGTGGAGAAGCCACAGTGACCTCCACGGTCTGTCAGAAGGAGGAAAAAGTGTGGGTTTGTCTCAAAGAGCTCCAGGGGCAGGGAGGACTGGGCGTCTCCTCGCACAGGGTCGTCTTTAGCGCACACACTCAGAACAGGAATAGCCACTTCATCCACGTCTCTTAAGGGTTCGTTGCGTTCCCAGTAAGCATCCCAGGCTCCTGGGATGCTTACTGAAGAGCCGCAGCCACTGCTGGTCCCAGATGTGGAGCCGACACATCCAGACTGACAGAAGAGGGCTTCCTCCACCCCACGCAGGGAACAACTAGAAAAAAGAGTGTCCGTGTGCATGATGTCCCCCAGCGCCGTCCTGTACCTGCAATATGAGGACAGACGCAAATGAACAAAGCAAGACGTGGAAAGAGAGACAATAGGTGGAAAACAGTAAATCAATGCTCAAGGGCTGCACAGATCTCAGATTCTCTAATAGCCTTGATTTGAGGAACTTCACCTGGGTCACGATGTCTCTCAGAATTACTAAGTTGACATCAAGCAGGCCATCTGTTGCTGTGGTAACTTAATTGCGCCCTCCGATGGCCCATGCCTCTCCGATAAATGGTTTCTGGGTACCTGCAGATGCACCGTCTAAAATTTCTATTTCATCTCATTTTAAACAATCTGTTTTTTAAATGCTCCTTTTTGCTAATCGGAAGAAAAACCAAATCAATATATCTACGAAGACAGAATATCTCAGGGTGAGATATGAGAGAAATCAAATAAAAGTTGTTTTTATTTTATTCCAAAAAACCTGGAAAACATTGTATTAATAATCTTTAAACATTATTAAAGGAATGTATTTGTTGCAGAGTAAGGTGGTTAAAACTAAATTTACACAAAGTCCTTTAAAAGTATAATTTTATTACAGATTCCAGTGAAACAATAATATTTAGAGGTGTCAAAGGTCGAACCTAAAGTAGCTTCGGTTTCCTCTTTATCTTTAAAAGGCGCACATTTGCACAGTTGCTCTATTTGCAGGTCATTTCAGCCAGTCGTCATCTGGCAACTTTGGAGCGCTCAAAAACCAAACAGGGCAGGTGTTTGTCTCCCTTGGACTGTTTATTGTTTCTATTTCCACGATTATAGACAGTCAGTTTCTATCCAACCTGATGGAAATTGGTTTCTATCAAGGCTCATCACCTTGCGTCATGAACTTGATTAAGAATAAACTGCTTAATATTTCTTAATGAAGACAAATCTGTCAAATGACACCTTAACTTGCTGCTAGCATGCGATTTCATTTGTGAATATATCAACACCCCTCATCATGTGAAGGTTTGGGGACCATTTAAAAAACTGTCGTTCATTAATAGGTTAAAGATTTCATTATTTTTAAACTGTGTTAAAATATCTCTTTTAACCCCTTAATTATCACCGGTGTCCTCATGGATGCATTGACTTACATGTTAACATTATGAGGGAGACTTTCGTCACTGTACTACATGGAATCGTTTGCTGATTGGAAGCATTTTTATTATTTTACTCTGAACCTAAGATGCTCCCAAACAAGAGACTTCAACAGATGCTTGGTTTGTACTTATGACCTCAAGTCCATCAGTAGCAATAACATGCTGGTTGCGACTTTGAGACATTATTTCTCAATATTGGCAGATCTTGTGCCACCACATTTTGTCACACTTACCAATTTAGAAGCCAGATTGCAATTTATTTTTTCAAAGTTTGTTTCAAAACCTAAATGTTTTCCCCAAGTTTTGCTCAAACTTTGTCTTATCTGGTAAACCTCATTTTGGCGCATCACCTTGCGTCGTGAACTTGACGTATCATTAAACCACTAATTATCATTTATTCTTGCTCATCTCCCCACTCCTTACCTGCTGAGACATATCTTCTGATACAGAGCCAGCGCCCACTGCAGGGGCCAACATAGCCCACTCTCAAACCAGCTCTGGCAGCGAAACACCGGTGACAGGCAGACCGCTGCAGTCACATAACTGGAGGATCCGCACTCCCCCAGGTAGGACAGGAGGAGGCCCGACCCCGAGCTCTCGCTCACTGCGTACAGCCTTCCGGCGGGCTGTCGGTAGCGGATGTAGCGCACGGCCTCCCGCAGGTCTGAAGGGTCGCCAAACTGCTGCAGTTTGAGGGTGGTCAGTGGCGTGCTGTTGTGGCTGCGGCGGTTGAAAACTGCAGGGAGGTAGCCGTGGGAGAGAGCCGATTCACACAGCTGGAGAGACACAAAGCAGAAACAGGATAATAAATGATTCAATGTCTCAAAAATGTTAGGCCAGAGTCTTTGATAAGGAACCGCTTACGGGGTGGAGTGATGTGAAGCAACTGACTTTTGTTGTTTTTATGAGTAAGCCAATGATTGAATTAGTGTGACTTAGCCTCTTTGAAATGTCAGAGAATTAAGCAATCTCTCTTCTTAGGGCACTGTCTCTTTGGGGCCCACTAACCCGAAACACAGCTGTGACATCATGACACTGAAAGCCCTTTGTAACAAGATAAAAGATACCTATAAATATATTTGACTAAAATAATTTTGTAGATTTCTTTTTTTTTATCATTACATTAATTTGTAGCTGATTAAAAGTATTGTTTTACTCTCTTATGCTCACTTCTGGGGAAAAAAAGAAATGTACTTGTTCTTACAGTTCCAGAAAACAATGCATGTTCCAATAAATCTGAATAAGGCTGCAGACTTTTTTCACATCAAACAGAGGAAAAATCATGTCTTTATAATTAATAAATACTGCATGACAGTAAGCAACCGTTTTTCTTCCTTCGAATGATTATGTTTCATTCAAACCCACAACATAACTAATCAATTAAACTGACCTGAGCAAATGCCAAAAAAATTATTTTCAAACCACTTTGCACGAAAAAGGGGTTGATTTTTTTTATACAATCTTCAAAAATCTAATTAGATCTAAATTAATTAATTCCACGGTCAGATTCAGATCAACCTGCAAACAATTCAATCAGTAAAAGTTTGTCATAAACTTGATGCAGTTTGTTTATGGGCCAAAAAAATTTACTTTTTGCTCAGTTTCTACATAAAGTAGACCTGAATGAAAGAGAAGTAACAACATTCCTGGATCTAACATTTACAGCAGCAACAAATTGTGCAAGATAAGAAGATTTACTCTAAAAGTCACAAGACAGTCAGAAAAGTGCAGTGATAAACTGGTAGACCAGAACATCACTCATTTACCCATCAGAGTGAATCACTGTTATTCAAATAGATAACATGAGCAAAAGACATATGAATTTGAATCTGCACACTTCAGCCTGAATTTCCAAAGTTGTTTAGCAACACTGACAACCTAAAGGCATGATCTGAATTCCCCTGGCACAATTGTTCCTGTTCTGCATACACAGACACGGGGACCATGAAGCATCATTGCACTTACAATGTGATTTCTATGAATCTTAAATTGTAAATGAACAGATGTAATACATTTATTTTGAACAGTAGGTTTATTTTTTTTTTTGTACAAAATATTGAAAATAACACTGGATTCTGAAAGAAATGTTTGCTCCTTTGCAGAAAGAGTCAAAAACAAACAAGTTGCTTCAGCAGTTTTCTAACAGGGCTGATTAAATGTCAGCTCAGTGATAAATTCCTGAGGCAGAGACTGCACACTGGACAAAACTCCCCGCTCTGACCTTACAGGATTACTGTAGCAGAAGGTTCCAATACTGAAGAGTGATATTTCCTTCAGTTCTTATCGATTAGTTCAAGTTATTTCACATTTGGAACTAAAATCAAATCCCATCAACAAACCTTTAAATGCAACAAACCATCAGATAGCAAAACAATAAAATAGATTCACCTCTACAGGTACTATACAGGGTGCAGGGTGTTGAGAAAAGATTCCTTGCTGGAGGCGTGACTATGCAATCGCTAGTGTCTGCCCATGACGTATGCAATGCAGCAGCTCAATGAAGCTTACCGAAAAGCCTGCACTGTAAACAACCTGATGGGCAGCAGGGACTTGACATTTTTGCCAGAAACAAAATGTCTTATTATATTTCCTTCCACTTGACACATATGCGCTAATTTGTGTTGACCTGTCCCATAAAATCCCAGCAAGACACATCGAAGGTTTTGGTTGCTGTGTGACAAAATGTGCCTCGAATGTTCGGTGGTGGCTGTGCTTTTGCAAGTATTTGATACACATAATTCATGGTAACTATAATGATACAGGTGACTCATACAGCTTGTTTTATTGATGATAAATCAGGTTTAGAAAAGCTGAGTTTTTCCCTCTATGGTTATATCCAGAGGTGATACAGTCATGACCATTACCAATAAATTGTTCCTACATTACCTGCACCGGAACCAGGTTAAAATTGCATCCCACTAAAAATGTAATCACTCAGAGCAGCTTGCTCTGCTCTCAGACTGAAAAAGGACAAAGTCGAGGGGCACGTTGCAAAGAAAATCCCCACATAATACAACTATTATTTTCTGTGTCTTTACAAAAAGAGCTATAGCTAAAAATAAATTCCACAAACAATGTGTAAGCACATCAAATTCACCTTTACTAGGTCATGATGTGCTCGATGAAGCCGCTCTGTCATCAGGGGAGTTAATGTTGTAAGGTGAGATGGGTACAACCGTTGGATGTCTGCCTCCAGAAATATTTGTGGGTTTTGAAAAGACTTCTCTTTAATAATAAAAACTGGGTTTCTTCCTACACATCTTTCCACACCTTCGATATATTGCAGTTCCTTCGGTGTGATGCCTTTCAAAATGAGGATAAAAAGTTATAAACTGCTATAGTGAATCTCTTTTATAGTCTTTCTTTTATAGTCATAAGTTATGAGGATAATAATATTCTGTTGTCTCAAAATAAATATAAATAGCAAAGCAACTAGGCCCTCCTGTAATTGATTTTGTCAGAGAAAATTGAACACCACATTTTATTTTGGAATAAGCTTTGAAAGGTATGATGGTGCTCCAGAGACACAGCAGCATTGTGGTTTTGTTGTTATGTGGGTTACCTCTGCAGTTTTAGTCTCACTTGAGATGCAAGCTGCTAAGCAAGCTGCTTCAGAAGTACAGAACATTTTGAAAAACTGCTGGACTAATTCTCTAGCTTCGAAAGACACTGTAGATGAAACGGACGGAAAAAGAGATATAGAAAGGAAGAGAGAGATATAAATGGAGCACGTCGTTACATTGATTACACCAATTGATTGTTCTAGAGTGATTGCTGTTATTAAAAGAAAGTACCTACCGCAGTTCTGTGGCCGATCAAAGAACAATCGCTAAAAAGATGCAGATACCAATTTAGTGAAAAAGCTGGCAAGTTAGCAAGAGTGGGTTAACGGTTGTAAAACTCGGAGGTGCAGATGTGACTTGGTGGGCCCCCCACCCTAAGACTAAGTCGCTACGGGAAACACTGCAAAGACACACGCTAGATGAAGTACAAAACGTCAACGACGTTTTCGCCTCCAGCAAGCAGTCGTTTCTCACTAGCCGAGGATCCAGAGCCTCTATAAGAAGAAAAGCTTAGAACAAGAGGCTGGTTTATACCAGGCTGTATTTAGATAAATCTAATAGGTAATGGGGACATACAAATAAGACTAGCTCTGTATTTTAGTGCAGACTTGGGCTACTTGCATTATTGAGGTAAGTAAAATGCATATATCATCTAAAATGTATGTATTTTCCTTGAGTTTTAATTCTGCTTCAGACTAACCTCTGATCTCTACATCAAGGATATTATGACTACATGATTTATGCCAAACTGAAGTAACAAAGCTCTTATCTCTTTATTTACTCCCACTTGGCTCTGTGGCACATCTCTCCAATATTATGCCAACGACACTAAGATTTATGTCCCACTATTAAAAAAAAAAAAAAAAAACTGTATTCTGTGCTATATCACAGTAACTCGATGATGTAAAGGCCTGGATTTCTTTCAACTTTCTAAAATTTAATAAAAGTAAAACAGAAGTCACGGTTTGTTGGCACAGAAGAACCCGTCCCCGTAGATGTAGGATGCTTGGCCGCCGATACAAACATCCCGATCTGTGGGGCAAATGACGGTTAAAGTAAAGCAAGGCCTTTCTCAGAAGCATTTAGAGATCCTAAGTCATGCCTTTACCAACACTTGTCTTGATTAACACAATGCACTTGTGCAGTGGTTCTATTATTATCTAGTTCAAGAAGGTAGAAAACACACTTGGCTTGTACAAGTTAATATGAGCCCATAACCCAAATTTTAGCTCCAAGTTCAGACAAGTCATCCATTTAAAAATATGTGTATTCTGTGATCAAAGGGAGCTGAAGACCACAGGCTCCATAACCCACATATCTCTCTCCGATTCTTCTCCGTGTCACAGACACAGACACGAGTGTGTATGCTCACACGGCGGCGGCTTTCATCTCTTTGCCGCACTTACTCACACTTACTCAGACCGTGATCTCTTTCTGCACAGTGAATTTCACCAGTGACGGAGGCAGTCTTAATTCTTACTTTTAGCGTGCAGCTCTTTCAAACGTGAACGGATGACAACAGAGAGCATGAAAAAAAGAAAGAAAGATGAGCTCATCTGTCTGAACGAGGCGCTTCGTCACACACCCATAAATTTCCTTGGATTTACAGGTTGATATTGAGCATATTTACTTTTTAACGCCGTGCTCGTAGAGCTGGCTTTTTAAAAAAAAAAATGATATAAAGCTGACAGGGAGCCTGTGACAGATTTGCACACAGAGGTTAAGAGCGTGCAATGAAGCGTGGCGCCAGGTGCCCTGAACAATGAAAGAGCCCAGCCGGTGTGCTCCCGGCTTCACAAGTCAAGTGATGCTTTGTAATCCCTCACTCAATTACCTGCGTCAGTCTGTTGAAAGGAACTGTTGAAAGAATGCCGTGCATCAGCTCTCTGTTTTTTTTTAACCACTGCTCTTTTCCTCCAAAGGAGTTTGACTTTTGCCCCAGGAAGCTGCTGTTTTCCCCTAATGGCAGATTGGGATGTTTGCATCTTTCAGTGTCACTTTACTGAAGCCCTTCTGCTTTGAGAAGATGGAACTGCTTTTACAAAAGGCATGAGCCTGTATTCAGTTTATTTTTCCATCATTCAAGTAATAAAAAAAAAAAAAAATCCCTCATGTTCATGTTCAAATTTATAGTTAGATGCATTTCAACAGCAATGCATAACTATATAAGAATGTTCTTGATGGAAAAGACAAACAAAAACGACACTAAAATCAAATGCAGCCAATTATATTGGCTTGTCATTTTCAGGACCTTGCAAAAGATAAACAAAATCAGAAATGTGTGGTGTTCATTCACCTTTATCTCTCTTTAATAGCTCTAAATAACACTGAGAGGAACCAAGTATTCAGCAGTCGCCTAATCGGAAAATAGACTAGTCATGTGATTTGATCCCAGTATAAATCCAGCTGTTATAACTGTGAAGCCTTCAGGGGTTTGTTAGAGAACATTAGTGAATAAACAGCATCATGAAGGTCAAGGTGCACAGCAGACCGGTTAGGGAGAAACATGTGGAGAAGTTTAAAACAGGCTTATGTCATAAAATAATATCCCAATAGCTGACAGACCTCTGATCAAATGCTGCATCACTAAAACAGCATTAATCATTAAAGTATAGCCAAGAGGTCCATGGAAACTTTTGGAGGAGCTGCCCATCCACAGCTCTGGTGGAAAAATCTGTTCCTGCTTACAGTTTGTTGCAAATTGGTATTTTATGGCTATATTCTACAGGCAATTGTGCAACAGAACTCAGACCTTAATTAATTACCTTCACCACATTCCTTGTGATCTTTCCGAAGGAGTTGGGGATGATGAGCAAAACCGGGCTGGTGGAGTGACTGGAAGTCCTGCGTCTCCTGTGGTAGGACGGCACAGCCCAGTCCAGCGACACCAGCCCGTCGTCGCTGAGCTGCAGGTTGTCCCGCACGAACTGAACCGAGCTGTCGCACGGCCAGCACGCCTCGTACGCGCTCTGCAAAAAGGCGCTGGCTCTCCACGTCCATCCGCCGCACGGAGAGTAGCAACTGAAAGTCCTGCAGTGCTTCTGGAGGTACTTGGCCAGCGCGGAGGGGTTGCATATGAGCGACACGGTGCGTGTTTTCTTCCCGGTGCCGTCAGCTCCCTCCGCGCACGCCGAGCGGGCACCGTCGCTGCCGGCTGCCAGCTGCGAAACGCCCAGCCTCTGAGGGAAGGCGATGGGACCAAGCAGATATTTGGTGCCTGGCCATATGAAAAGCGCCAGGATCACAACACAGAAAGCCACAAGCCATTCCAGCATTGGGGCGGTCTGCAAAGTGGAATCAGGGAGATCGCGATCACTTTCACAGCTGTATCTGAAACTGAAGTTTACATTCACGACTAATATCCAAGGCAGCTGTCATTCTTACACCTTCCATCCCTCCCACAAAAAATAAATAAATAAATAAATAAATAAAAAATACAAAAAAATGTTTCAAAACTGCTCAGCCCTAGGTGTTTACTTCCCTCCTGTGCCAGCGCGCACTGACCGGTCCATCGGAAACACGCGGTGGTCTTTGCGTGGCGGGTTCTGATCTAATTCCAGCACGTTTTCCTCTCCGGACGCTGCTTGGGATCAACGAGGCGGATCCGCTCACAGTTTCAAGCACGCAGCTCCAAGAGAGTGACGCTTAAACCTGTGGTGCCCAAACACAACTAATTTCTGAGATCAGCGCGCAGCTCGTGTTGGAAACGCCCCCACCACCCACCTCGCACACCCCGCTCCTTCTGACTGAACAGGTACGCCTGATGATGTTTTAAAGCTTTCTCATTAAAACAGGCAACTTCCAGGAATCAGGAGTTTTATTAACCTTTCAACATTTCTAAGAAAAAAAAAAAGCCAGTTTCTGATCGGTATCAGTGAGATAGAAATTCCTGTTAAATTAATTTGGGAACTTGCGACCTTGTGCATTTAAGCCACCAAGGGTACAACCATAATCAGAGCCATAGGCTGTGGTCACTCCTTTTCATGCGAACTGTGCAAAGTGACCTGTTGAGTAGGTATTGGTGCCTGTGAACAGTTTCTGTTTTCTTAATGAGATGCGTGTGGAAAAGGACAAAGTATATAAGCCGTACATGCATAATTGGATGCAAAATGCAGTTTTATATCTTCTATTTGGATATCAGGTACTTCTTGATAGTGATGCTGACGTAACCCCCTTGTCAATTTGCATTTCATCCAGCTACATTTACATACCTAAAAACAGCAGTTATAGATATGGAGGCAGAAGCAGTTTAGATCTGTCCCTCCTGTTTGAAGTATCATTCAGTACCAAGTGGTCATTTTAAAGTGATCAAAAACACAACCCCGGTCTTCAGCGAAAGCCCAGAATCTCGTAAAACCCTATTTCAAATTTATTTCTAAAGCACCTCACATATATAGACGTGGTGTGCTAAGAACAGAATAAAATTAGGTAATATCCTAACCGTGTTGTCTGGTTTTCTTCAGCATGGAACAAAAATGCAGGTCAGAGGTGACAAGAAGATTAATGTGGTTAAAGCAGGCAATCTGGGAAGAAAACTTGTTGGACAAGTCTTGATGCTTGGGTGGAGGTTCATGTTTCAGCAGGACAATGCTTACATGCTGCCAGAGCTGCAGTGGATATGACTCCTGGAACCACGTCGCCTGGACTGGTCGTTTGAAGGTTCACGCAGAAGTGATATATCTAAACATTTTTGCTGACACAAGCAAAAGGTTGATTCTGAAATTGTTGACCTCAGGAGGTGCTGAGTGTAAAGGTAGAGCAGACTTTTAAAATTTTATTTGTGAAAACCATTTAAAAGTAACATTTATCATTTTCCTTTCATTTTACAAACGTGTACCACTTTGCTTTATTCTAGCACAAAAGAGCTCAATAAAGTGCTGATCTGGCAGTAACAGGCAGAAACATTCAGGGAGTATCAAGTGCTTTTGTAATGGAGTGGAGTTACATCATGCTGGTTTATTTCTTGGAAATGAGAAGTTTTGTCAATAGTTAGGAACTATTGTGACCGCATAATAGAATATCCGACCTAAAATAATGGCCTAAGTCATTTTTCATCTATCTATCTATCTATCTATCTATCTATCTATCTATCCATCCATCTATCTATCTTAAATATTGATGTTGGCATCTCGTTACTCACTTCCTCCATTATTCAAAGCTCACACCCATATTAACTGGTTGAGTTAACATTGTGTTTCTCTTCAAATCTGTTTTATTTATGGAAATGTCAACCTTTTTCTACATGCTTGGGAACGACGGTGAAACAGGGCGACAATATAAAATATCACTGATGATATTCAGATCCAGTCTGCTCAACAGCCAGTGACTCCGTAAAGGTCACTTTGGAGAAGAAAAATCTTTTTTGACAGGCACAAGGGACAAAAAGAGCCATCTGGGCAGCGATAATCTATTTTGTGTCGATGAAAGCAGGAGAGGAGGTCATCGAATCACATTTTATTTTAGGTGGAAATAACAAAAAACATGACTTTATTAGATAAGGTTTGGATTTTACATGTAATGATATTTTTTTGATGAAAGACCTGGGTCAGAGAGAGAAAGCTCTGGTAAACGCAGCCAGTGTGTAGCAAGTCTAAGGAAATTAACAGTATGTTTAGCTTCACTGGTAGCTATGAAAAGATGTTTGAGGTAAGCTAAACCTTTTGCCATTTTGTCACTGGAGAGCCACAAAGCATATTTTATTTAAGTTTTATGTGACCGATCAACAGAAAGTAGTAAAATGTTGTAACGTAGAAGGAAGAGGAAGTTGTAGTTGGAAGTTGTAAATTAACAGATACAAATCTGAAACATGTGATGCGCTTGAATCTACTTCAATATCAGGGTAATAAATCCAGTGCAACACTGCCATCCAAAGTCAGCAAATTAGTAAACCGAGTGCACTAATGTCCAACTTGATATCAGTATGAATCTGGCTGCTCTGTGAATGCCTCGTTTGCTAGAGAACGTTGATGAACAAACAACAATAATAATACCTTTTATTTACAAGAGCATATCCTAAGTTGTACAGCTGGATTTACCACTGTAATGGTAAGAGCAGTAAATGCTGGACATCCAATAAACTTTATGTCTTGGTCATTTAGCATGTTGTAGATTAAAATCAACATATTCTAGAATATATTGATTATTGTAGCTACCAAATACTCAAATATTTGGTAGCAAATCCAGTCACAACTGTTTGGCATCTGGGAACTCTCTATATACACACCATTGGGCGAGCAGAGAAACACAACAATCCACAGTCCTTCAGAGCAGACTAGTAACATTTTCTTCTGTTTTATTCAGTGTTGAAAAAATAAAAAAATAAAAAAATACACGAAAACTATTGAATTCAGATGGGGAATGTATGCATTGGCGCACATGGTGATCCATCTAATCTGCTATCAAGTCCTATGCTTTGCAGGCTGTACAGTGTTTTCCCCCAGCACTGCTGACACGTTAGAAAAAAGTAGGTCACTAGGCCAAAATGAAGACGCAGCCTAGAGGTTGCATTTGGCACAATAAATGAATTAAGTCTTCTAGCTGACATTTTGCTGGCATTTACCTCCACATCAAGCTGCACATGTAGGAAAAGACCCTTTACACACTACACTCAGAGAAAACATGTAAAACGCTGAAAGGAAATCAACATGAGGTCGGGGCAAATGTTCTTATGTTGCAGAATGTTTTAACATCATATACAGCCATAGATTAGTTAGCTCAGTTTCGTGGTACGGCGGATTAAGAAGCGGGGTTCCACCATGACAGTAGCTTCAATACATTTTACTCTTTGCTCCAGATAGAGCACTTCACTATTGCTTACTCTTCCTTGAGTAAGTGTTAGTATTTTTATGGAATTGTCATTTTTGTCAGTCTAAATTTGCTAACCATTTATAATCAGAATCAGCTTCATTGGCCATGACTGCGTGCACAAACAAGGAGCCAGAGTTTGGTTTGACATAAAACATCCAGTTTCCAAAACATTAAACAGCAACGAAACGCTGTATAAAAATATGCAGGTGAAGGAAAACACATTAAATCTGAATGAGCTGACCCTGTTTAGTTCCTTTTAAGTTTGAGAAAGCTACAGCAGGAATAGAAAGGAAAAACCTTTCCTGTGCAGCACATTTGTTGCCAGGAAACCTGCAGAAATCAAAAGTGGAGCACAGGTGCTGTCATTTATTTATTCTGTAATGGATCTCGCAGGAGTGTAACATCTTTGCCCTGGTAGAGCACACTTCATGATCGCCAAACTTTGGATATCACCTGAAAGCACCAACAAGAAATGGGAAACTGAAGAATTGCTATGCAATGGCATTCAAAATAAACCTAATGGAAAAATCCTGATATGAAATTCACATTAGAAGCTGAAAAAAACTTGAGGGATTCACTGCTGCAGGACAGATATGCTGGTAGGTTTGAGTGCAATAAAAATGTTTTATATTTTGGAATGCCGTAAGAATAAGTATTGAACAAAATTACTGAAATGTTTTCAATACTTAAAAGAAAATCATTTGTTTTTCAGTGACAGCTCTGTAAAAATCTTCTTTCCAAGGAAATGCAGTAAAACAACTATAGCAGCACATTTCAACACATAAAAGCTGTTAGTGTGTGTTAGGTTGGGCTAGGTTATGAGAATGAGAATCACACTATAATACAAGGAAGCAAGATGATTTATGGTTTATATTTTATATTCCATGTAAAAAGTAAGTATTGTCTTTACTTGGAAAACAATGACATTTCCTGTTTTTCCGTTTATGTGTCGGAGCGATGCCGTTTTGTGCCACTGTACATTGTTGTTTTCAAGACAAGAGACTGATCTGATGCTAAGTTGCCCTACCAAAATGTGCTTGCTTATTGTTTTTTCTTCCTCTTCCTTTACACAAAGTCACCATGGCTCAGCTGCAACTCTAAGCATCAAACTAAACAGTCACCCTGCTGCTGCGTCCGTCAGACTTCCAGATTTAAGCGAACCCGTGTGGCTAACCGTGGTTACGACAAGGTTTAATCATCACTTATCATAAAGGCTTCAGAAAGAGATACATCACAGCCACCTCCTACTCAAACTTTTTAAGTGTAGTCATTTGAAGAACTCATGTTTGGGTTATCCCTTTCAAACAGAGGCAATTCTTTACATAGCCATGCAGTGTTTGGCCTCTCCCTGAACCTCAACTGTGACGTAAAAAAAAAACAAAAAACAAAAAAAAAAAACGTTGTGCTGACTGGCTCACATCCACCGTCAAACAAAACCTGCCACTTCACCAGATGAAAATGTGACGTGTGGCACTCCGTTGAGGGGGAGCGTTGGCCGGGCCAATCCAAACAAGTGTCTTTACATTTATACAATCCTTGCGATAACATAAATAAATTTCGCAAATTTATAGCATCAGGGATCCTCACAAAAATAGGAATGAAAATTGAGCTGTGAGCATTTTCAGAAGCCACAAGCAGCCCGTCGAGCTGCGAAGCTGCTGCTTTACCGACTTTCACAGCCTGTGACCACATCCTCAGCAGCAACCTTCCTGTCCCATTTTGACTTCCGGTGTCATGAAAATTAACAATTTAGATCTTAAGCCATTGAAATCTTTCAAATACAGCACAAAAATGCTAAACTAAAGAAACTATATTAGAATTATATATATATATATATATATATATATATATATATATATATATATATGCGCCTTTCATTATGATATGCATGCTGCTTTTCTAAGCAGTCGTTTGTGCCATTTTGGTTTAACACCTGGTTCAATGTGCTAAGCCAGCCCCCAAGGCTTTGCTCTAATTTTAAAAGTCCATCAACGTGAAAGCTAATCTGAGACCTTCCCCCCTCAGAAATAATAACTCTCTCAAAAAAAGAGACAGAGACTTCAAATAAAAGGGA